TCTTGATTGTTTGAGCTTGAATTATTGCGTCTTTGGCCTATTTTATGCTAGGTTGTGTTCCTTTGTCCCATTTCAGGTCCTAGCACATAAAGTGAAGCATAGGCGCAAGTTTCAAGTCAATCAGAGATCAATTGACGATTCGAGAGAAGAAACTCGGGCATAACCTGAAGAAGAATGGATTTCTACCTCACTTTATGGAAAAAGAATCATGCAAGCTTGTTATGAAACGAAAGAGGACGAGACTACAAGCGTCTGGGATCAAACGGCGACTGATTCGGAGTCCGGACGAGGGAGAAACGAAGCATTAAACAGAGGCTGAGCAAGCCACACGGGCAGAGCAGAAAATCTGCACGGCCGTGCAAGGTGAGCTGCACGGCCGTGCAAGGTGAGCTGCACGGCCGTGCGGCCTGGCTGTTTAAGAAGCCTGGAATTCAACTAATTGATGCGCTGCGTTTTGACTCGCACGGGCAACTGGGTGAGCCACACGGCCGTGCGTCCTGCCCGTGCGAGTCGGGATTTTCTGCTTTTAAGCAAATTTTCAGCCAAACAGAAGGGGATTCGAGTTTTTGAGAGAGAGAACGATTCCTAGAGAGAGAAAGCGACGAACAAGAGTCTCCAAGTGCCCTAGCTTGATCTTCATCGCCATTGGAGGCCAGTTTGAGCTTGGAGAAGTGCCGATCAACATCCAGGAGCAGGAATCCATCCTTCACGGTATGAATTCCGCGTCTGATTCTGCTTTTGCTTCTTTCTCCATGGATTAGTTCTCCCATTCATCTAGGTATGGAGAACCCTAGATTTGTATGTTAGGCTTTGATTGTATGAACCCAAGTACTGATTCTATGATTTGATTATATTCGATTGAGGTTTGAATGATTGAATGACTTGAATCCTGATCAAATTCTTGTTGTTTCTGCTTTAACCTAGAATGAGAATATCTGCCTAGGTTGATAGAGCATCCTTGATTGAAGGTAGGGAGTTGGTGACTTTAGTCGAGGAGCCAACTCACTATTCTGTACCGGATTCACTTCGGTAGTGGAGGTTTTGTTCTTAGGGCCTCAATCTGTTTACTCAGGTGGAGGTTAGTCGCCCGCTAGAGACTCAGATTGAGAGGGTCTGAAGACCTTTAGTCGAGACTTCAGGCTGTTTAAGAACCTTCCGCAGTATAACTATCATAGAAACTGAACTTGGTAATTACAATCCGGCTTAACTGCAGTCTAGGGGGAACCATATCCGGGTGACCTCTCTTAACCTGAATACAACAGTTTACTTTCTTTGCTAGTTTGATAGTTTAGACTTGCATTCCAGTTTCATTGCTAGATAACAAGAATTCACTGAGTAGTCATCAGATCTAGGACCCGGGTTGACATATAAACCTAGCCCGCTATACTACGCTTTAGGAAGTGGTTTCACTTGACCAATTCATGGAGTGACAGTAGAAGTGAGTCAGAGGTAGTGTAACCAAACTCCACGTACCATTTGCAACTAAAGCTGCAATTTCTTTAGACATAGCCTCGCGCCAAACATCATACTTGACCGCCTCCTTGAAAGACTTTGGCTCTAGAATGGTATCAACAACAGCCAAAAATGTACGGTAGGAAGGCGTTAGTCTATCATACGTGACATGATGCGACAAGATATCGGACATGTGAGGCAGATTGAAGATTTGTCTCATAGATATCCACAAGATGATTAGGAGGACGATGATCCCTATCACTGCGACGTAAAGGGACAGGCACGTCGGCAGGAGGGACGAACACATCGGCAGGCGGGGACGAAGAGATAGCGCATGGACTGTCCGATATGGACTCAAGTGAATGACAAGGACTGGGACTGGGTGACGCCCTGTCTACTGAGGAGTTGACATCTACAGCTGGTGTGCGTGGGGAGGTAGCCTCCGCAGCCGGTGATGAGGGACTGGGAGTAGCATGCTCGAGGGGACTAGGCATGGTAGAATCCCCCGAGCTGACGGGAACCTCATCAATGAACGCGTCTGGAGGGACCCAATAGAAATCCCGAGGGTCCTGCGCATGAAAAGGGATGTAATTCTCTTGGAAAATCACGTCACGAAAGATTATTACCTTACGTGCAAGAAGATCATATATCTTATAACCCTTCTTTGTAGCCGTATAACCAAGAAAGACTCCAGCTCGCCCTCGATCAACAAATTTATGGAGATCACCATGGTTATCCTTGGCGTAAACAAGACAGCCAAATATTCGAAGATGGGTGTATGAAGCAGGATGACTAAACAACACCTCAAAAGGTGTTTTCCCCGTCGCAGTGGTAGGTAGTCTGTTGATCAAGTACGTGGCAGTGAGAACACACTCGCCCCAAAACCGTAGTGGGATGCCAGCCTGAAATCGCAGTGCTTGCGCCGTCTCCAAGATGTGGCGATATTTTCGTGTAGCAACTCTATTCTGCTGAGGAGTGTCAGTACAACTGGTTTGAAGAACGATGCCTGATTTTTCATAATAGTCGCGCAAGACATTAGTCGAAAATTCAGGACCGTTATCTGCCTGTATGCGCCAAACCTGTTTACCAAAACAATATGACGAGCAACCTCATATTTAAACTTGATTAGATAAACCCAAACACTGCGACTGAAATAATCAACTATCGTCAAAAAAATAATGTGCTCCACTGAGAGAAGCCATTTGATATCCACCCCATATATCCATGTGAACTAACTAAAAACAATCCAAAGTTTTGATGTGACTAGAGGGAAAAGGTAATCTAGTTTGCTTGGCACGAGAACAAGAGTGACAAGGCTGTTGTACTTTGCTACTAGAAATAGAAACCAAACTACTAAGCTGGGATATCTTTGCCGGCGAAGGATGGCCAAGTCGGTTGTGCCACGTTTCCACCGACACCTGCTGCTTGCCATCAGCCGCAAAAACCAAATTCTCATTACCTCCAAATAGCTTCAAGTAGTAAAGACCTTCACGGAGAATCTCCTTCCCAATCACGCTCCCGAAGCGTAAGTCCTGAAGTATACATAAGTCGCGCATAAAGGTTAATGCCACATCATTATCCTTTGTTAACCTGCTGACAGACACTAAGTTGCAACGAAGCTCTGGAACATGTAGAACGCGATCTAGCTTTAAGCCTTTAGACAAAGTGACTAACCCAACATTCTTGACAGGAATGCTATCACCATTAGGAATTCTAACAGGTTGGCTAGTCTGACTAATACCCTCACTATTCAACCACTGTGCATCTTTAGTGATATGTTCTTTGCAACCAGAATCGATCAACCACTTAGAATCACTAAGAGAAACACCTGCCATATGTGCTGAAGGATCACTGGCTGGTGTAGTGGACCCGAAAAACTTCTTTAGTTGCTCAAGTTGAGACATGGTGAAGCCCGGGACAGGGCTTGTATCAACTTCTACTTGCGCTGCTTGGGAGCTCCCTCGGACAAGGTGCGACGCCTTCTGTCTCCCTTTTCATTTTTATCACTTTGATTTCCTTTGTTGCGAGGTGGCCATCCTATTAGGTCATAACATAACTCCTTAAGGTGAACAATTTTGCCGCAATGGGAGCATTTTGGTCGGCTGTCCGACGTTCGACTTCCACTTGCAGGATCACCATCATTCTGTGCCGCAAATGCAGCTGCCTCGACAGGAGCCCTTCGCTTTTGAGCTAGCAGCCGCTGCTGCTCATCATTAGAAACAATGTTGAAGGCCTCTGCTAGTGTTGGAGGTGGTTTCATGGCTAAGATCTGACTGCGGACAGCAGCAAAGCTCTCATCCAATCCCATCAAAAAATCATACAATCGCTAACGTTCCTACCTTGCTCGAGTTCTATGATCCAAGTTACACTTGCATTGCCCACACACACACGCTTCTGGAGGAGATAAAGACTGTGCCTCCTTCCATAAAGCCTTTATGCGAGTATAAAACGAGGAAACATAATGCTTCTCTTGCCAAAGAGCGCTAACAAGACGACGCAGCTCATACCCTCTGGTCATGCTACCTTGGCCAAACCGTTCCTTAAGATCAGTCCAAATTCCACGTGTCATTTTAGCATATCGAACACTACTCCATATCTCTTTATCCATTGACATACGAAGCCACCCCTTGACTACAACATCACACCTGTTCCAAGCACGTAATTCCGGGTCGTTCTTGGGCTGTGGTATTGTGAGATCAACGAACCCAAATTTATTTTTCACGATGAGTGCGTCGGTCATATCAATTACCCATTCATCGTAATTGGTCGAGGTGAGAACATCAACAACATTGAGCTGTCCTCCGCAGTCCGAAGGATGCAAAAAATAAGCTAACATTGAATCAATCTAACCTGTAAGTCCGGATTTGACAGTCCCGAACTTCATGTTGTCATTCCCACCAGATCCGTCGCCTTCTGGCTTCTTGGTCTCATCAGTATCACCCATGACGATGACAAATCAAGGACGTAGAAAGCTTATGCAGACCGATGCTCTGATACCATGATAAATCGCAAACGAATCAAGAAGACGCACGAGTTTTACGTGGTATCCTCGGTCAATTGAGTGACCGAGACTAATCCACGGGAGAGTTCAGCCTCTCCAACTTTGATCTTATTAATTAGATGATTGTGTTACAGTGGCCGCATGGCCTATACAAGACTTATATAGGCTAGAGCTTTCTGTACTTAGGGCTTTACATGTAGAAGAATGAATACTAGGAAATCTCCAGTAAGCACTCCTTGCCATGCACGTAAAGGACGCCACAACTAGACAGGCTGACTTGGATTGGGCCTCGAGCGGTGACTTGGACCCGGGCCGCTCGGTGTCTCTATCCATTAACTACCATCCAAGGTACTAATGCATCCACCTTTGTCTTCAACTCCTGATAAATTTGTTGTCTTTCAAGGACCTCGTTGGACCCATACATGAATGTTATTTGAGTAGGCTCTGCCTCCTGTAGAAGACCATGAACATAGAACCCATTGCTCTCTAGTACTGTGAATTTTAAACCCTTCTTCCATAGAACCCAAATCCTTCCTACACCAGCCAGGGAATAAGTATCTTTATATTCCCAATCCATGAAATGCTTCGCTATAATTTTCTGAACATTTTCTATACTAACTCTAGTTTCCATAATTGCAACTATCTCCACCTTATACCTTCTAACAGACTCCACTATACTCTCGTGCTTATCAGGGTATTAAACCCTCTCATATTCCATACCAGATCATTCATGATTTATTTGAAATTTTTTGCCCCTTTGGGGGCCGACCAGGTTTCCCTTTCTTCTTCTGCTGACCTTCCTTCCCTAGTTCTGGGAAGTGAACAGGATCTTTTAAAGGAGATACTGCAATCTCCCCTACTTCAAATTGTGCCAGGGGAGCAAGGATCTCAAACGAATTGGATTGTTTAGTACCAACCGCCTGCTGGAATTCAGTATCAGAAGGTAGGTTGCAGCCTTGCCAAACAGGTCCCACAGATAAGGATGCTACCAAATTCTTCACTGTTGTTTTCAATCCACTTTCACCCAGGATACCAGCATCAGTTTCTGAAAGAGACCTACCACTAGCCACTTCTTCAGCTACAACTTGAGCAGTTATTGCATTATCATCAGAGTTCATCACCACACTTGCTTCGTTAACCCTTCCTTGAACCATTTCAGGAGCTATTATCTCCACTTCACTAGCAGCAGTAATCTCTTCCTAAATCAACACAGGAGCTTCTCCCTCTTCCCTCTGAATCTCCTGAACTTCCTCCTCACAGTTATGGCCAAACCTACTGCATTTCCCACACATCTCTGGCTTATTACAGTATTCAATATTGACAGTGTAAGCAGGCCTACGATCTGGGACAAGACGCAAAGAATATGGGAATGTCGAATCAACACCCATCTCAACACATACTCTAGGGTAACCAAGCCTCCTGCCAAGTCGGCTAGACTTATCGAACCAGAGAGGGCGCCCTAGCATACTTGCCAAACGCGTCAAAATTTGCCCCGTTACATGCTCAAGAGGTAAATCCAGAATACGTACCTAGATAGGAATCGTTGGGCGAGGCTCCTCAGCTCTGATTCCTGGTTCACATTTCCTCAAGTAACACATATTGTTCCTCAGATGCCAACGACCGCTCGAGAACACCAAGTGTGCAGTTTTTGCAGTCGGGAACTGAAATAGAAGTAGACGTTCGCCCAGCCAAGAAACCCTAACTGAACCTTTCTTGCCCCAAAGACGATTCGCCCAAGATTGGACTTGAAGGATGTGAGGAGAGGTAGATAGGAACTTCCCTACCAAACAATGTTGCCAGCGCGCGATTCCTTCATCTTCAAGTTCAGCAAAAATGCGGAGACCTTCGTCTACAATCTCCAGTTCGACGTACACCAAGCGATTCTCTTCCGCAACTCCGAAGAGGTCTGCCCAAGATCTTCCCGATGTGCAAACTCGATTCCATTCCTTCCTTCTATAGATCAACTTAATTCCAGTAGAAACGGTGGCACTACGCCGGTGACCGCCGCAGGGGCCGCGATCAGCGGAGAAACTGTTGTGAAGCTAACCGTCTAGAGAGAGAAAGGACTGTTTTCTTGTCTATCAAAAATATTTAGTTATCAATTTTATTTGAGTGGTTCTCTCAATTATATTGATGTCCTATTAATTTCACTGCATCCGCAGCAAAACATGAAGAATACCCCATGTCCTTATCTCTCCGTAAGCAAGATCCATGACCTGTATAATGGATATAAATAGATGATGGGATATGGATTGAAGTTACATGACAACATATGGCTTAGAAAGGGTTGGAACTAGGGGTGGGCATTCGGTCGGTTCGGTTCAAACCGAACCGAAATTATGCATACCGGGTCCCCGAATTCTATCAAACCTCAAACCGAATTCGAACCGAATTATAATTCGGTTCGGTCGGTTCAAACCGAATTATAATTCGGTTCGGTTCGGTTTTTCATACAAAACCGAAATAGTGAGGTTAGCTTGTATCTTCTCTTTTTTAAATTATTTTTCACCCCTAATGCAAACAATAAATATGCATCATCAATGATAAAATCAAACATTTCGACACATAAGCCATAAAACACTAACATGATTCAAATATTTAAGTCTCATAATAAGTAGAAACATAAAAATCCACCATTTAGAGCTTGCAATTATAATAATTCGGTTTTTCGGTTCGGAATTCGGAAATTCGGTTCGGTCGAAAGGACCTTGGTTTCCGAAATATGCCCTTTTCTCTTCCGAATTCCAAACCGAATAACATTAATTCGGTTTCGGTTCGGTTCATATTCGGTTCGGTTCGGTTTTATCGAACCGTATGCCCACCCCTAGTTGGAACAACGTGTAAAGTATAGAAGGGAAAGAAACAAAAGCAAGTAGCAGAATTTTGAATTACCACCAGTAGAGCATCAAGTATTGGATTAATTGGTTTCACATAGACTTGAGGCATATAACCAAACTCATAGAATTCAATATGGGAAGCATATGCGTACAATAACTGGGTGACACAAACTTAGGAAATGAGGAGTTAAGGGAATGCGTTAGGATGATTATTTATTTTTAAGTAATCACCGTGGCTATCAAAATCTACACCATTGATTAACTTTATTTCAGTTTATTTTTAAATGAATGGTGAAGATAGAGTAAGGGTAATTTTGACAATAAAAAAGATATTACACCTAATTTCTATCCTTTAGAAAATTAATATCTATATATTATATTTAAACACTACCACAACCTATTCTCTATCGTTGTAAGCCCGTAACACCTCCATCAATTCCCTTCCTCTCGCTGCCGGCCGACCACCCTCTCTCTCTCTCTCTCTCTCTCTCTCTCTCTCTCTCTCTCTCTCTCTCTCTCTCTCTCTCTCTCTCTCTCTCTCTCTCTCTCTCTCTCTGGGAAGGTTAAGAAGGGGTGATGAACCCTCCCTCTCCTTGCACGGCTCAAGGAGATGGCCGTGGTGGACGCCTGTGACGAGAAAAGGTGGGATGAATAAAAACTCTATATCTGATTTTTTCGCATTGGTAGTGATTTTTTTCGCAGTCGTAGTGTTTTTCTCAATTGGTAGTGATTTTTTCGTAGTTGTAGTGTTTTTTTCGCATTGATATTGTTTTTTCCGCACTGGTAGTGATTTTTCCATAGTTGTAGTGTTTTTTCCTCATTGGTATTGTTTTTTCCGCATTGGTATTGATTATCATGTAAGCGTATTGTTTTTTGTGAAATGGTAGTGTTCTTATTCTATAGTGGTAGTGTTCTCGCATTGGTATTATTTTCTCTTTTTTCATTGGTATTGATTATCATGTAATGGTATTGATTTGCATATTGATATTGATTAAATCTGCAATGGGTTTGGTGTTTTGTGAAATAGTGGTGTTTTTATTCGAATGGTATTGGTAGTGTTTTTTTAATGGATTGGTATTGTTTTATTTTTGCAGCGGTATTAGTGTTCGGCTAAATGAAAACAAGGAAAAGATTGAGTAAAAGAAGGAAAAGAGATCTCGCCGAAGATTGTGAAAGTGAGAGAAAGTGATAGAAAATTATAATTAATATATTTTTGTCACTCACTAAAATGTAATTTGTTAAAAAATATAATTAATAATTTTTTTGTCATACCCAATTTACCCTTAGTAATCACCGTAACCTGTCCCGGAGTTAAGCTATGCGGACTCAAGCAATAGATGAAAGAAGGAAGTAATCATTCATAGTTCTAAAACGTAAGAGTTCTTATGATTGGGTGAGAAAATTAAGCTATGGGATTTCTCTCTTCCTCCCCTCCTATCGGCTGATCAATTGAGCAGCAAGAAGAAGCCTACTTACCCTGCATCTAGGCGTAAAGGCGAGAGCGAGGAAGAGAAATCGATGGGTGGAGGGGAGGGCAACAATGAGGGTAGAGTGGAGAAAAAACTCAAAAGAAAAGAAAAGAGGGTATCCACAAGTGAAAGTGACTGCCGGTATGTCTAAATTGTCGGCAGTGGGAGAGTCAAACTTGGCAAGCGGCCAAGCCATCTACGTAGGGGGACACAACATGGATAATTAGGGGGAGGTGTACAGTAGTTACGATATACCTGTCTACACCGTACCAGGCAGCTAATACAACACTCGCCCTTTATATATTCTAGGCGAGAGCGAGGAAGAGAAATCGATGGGTGGAGGGGACGGCAACAGTGAAGGTAGAACGGAGAAAAACTCAAAAGAAAAGAGGGTAGCCACAAGTGAAAGTGGCTGCCGGTATGTCTAAGTTGTCGGCAGTGCCAGAGCCAAACTTGGCCAGCGGCCAAGCCATCTACGTAGGGGGAAACGATTTGGATAATTAAGGGGAGGTGCACAGTAGTTACGATATACATGTCTTGACCGTACCAGACCCCTAATACAGCACTCACCCTTTATATATTCTAATAATTAGATAATGTCTATTTTTTATCTAAACCTTTTTCAGATTCTTTTATATTATCCAAACCTAACGATATACTAAGAATTAGCCAAATGATAACTTTCAGTTAACAATTTTGTTAGTAATATTGACTTGACAACATGATACTGACTTGAAAGAGACACATGAATGTCAATTTTGAAAAAAATTAGTATTTTAATTAACAAAAGAGTTACAAAATTATTAACGATAACGTAAAAATGACTAATATTTTGATGCATTACGAAAGATTTGACTAATTAATAACATCTTAATAGGTTTGGATAATATAAAAGAATCTGGAAAAGATTTGGATAAAAATAGACATTACTTTTAATTATTAATTGAAAAAAGCAAAAAAGGTAGGTGTCCCAATCCCGCCCGTTTGTTTGCTTCCGAAGAATATTTTTGCAGCGGTATTAGTTCGGCTAAATGAAAACAAGGAAAAGATTGAGTAAAAGAAGGAAAAGAGATCTCACCGAATATTGTGGAAGTGAGAGAAAGAGAGAGAAAATAGTAATCAATATATTTTTGTAACTTACTAAAATGTAATTTGTTAAAAAAGGTAATTAATCATTTTTTTACCATCCCAATTTACCCTCAATAACCACGGTGATTAGTCTATAGGTGTCAATCGGGCGAGTTCGGGCGTGTTTGGGCTGGGTTCAATCGGATGCGGGTTAGTCGGGTTGCGGGTTCCTCGGGTTGTGGGTTTGTCGAGTCGGGTTTAATCGGGTTCTGGTTCAATCGGGTTGTGGGCAAATCGGGTTCGGATTTATCGAGTTTTGGACCGGGCGGATTGGGTTGCGAGTTGTTCGGGTCAACGCATCGAGTTACTTACTCGTTACCAACTTACACATTTTATTACACTAATTTAAAATATTTTCACAATTTTTAACCAATTTCTTTCTACCTCGTATATATACTTAATTAAAAAAAAAACTAGTCAAAATGTTGAATCAATTTGTATGACTTGCAAACTTGTCATGTAATTAATCATAACTGGTAAAGTTCACTAGCTAATATTAATGGTAATATCAACATTTGTAATCAATACATTATTAACAAACCATACATTCAGTAAACAAAACACTACTCTAAAAGCAAAGAAGAAAAACACTTTTTCTATCTCAACATTTTTGTGCATCAATATAGATTGACCCAAACAAAATTTGAGCGCCAATATAGATCAATCCAAACAAAAATTGGAGGGCCTTTTGGAGCGGGAAGGAAGAAATTGGCGGCAATATATATCAAGAAAAGATAAAATTGGGTTATGTGTACTATAAGTCTGTTGTAAAAAAAAAAGTACTATAAGTCTATAACAAAATTGATTGATTTATTATAAGATGACGAGAGGTTTTCAAATATATTACTGTCAATTAGTCAATGTCTTATAAGACTGTACCAATATTTACTATTAGATAATTTCGTAGTTACTAAATGTTAAACTCTTAATTCATAATCGGTAAAGATTGTGATAATCGAATTAGTAAATAAGTATATGATAAATAATATAAAATAATTTGCATTTTAGATAATTGAGTGACTTTATTGAGATAAAATAACTCATAATAAAATTTACCATAAATAATATCTTAATCACTACATGTTAAACTATTAAACCACCATATTCTAACATGGTAACTAAAATAATATGCATTTGGCAAAACAATTACATGTACTTAAATTAGTCATACACTAAAATTATATCTGAGCCATCTCAACTCACGAGCTAAGGCCAGCTCTTGACATAAAACATCATAGCTCAAGTCGAGATCGAGCTTAGATAGTGCCAACTCGAGCTCAGCTCAAGATCAGCTAGACAATAGCTCGTAATCAAGCTCAACGAGTCCAACTAAACAAGCTCAACAAGCATCCGACTATTACTTTTGAGTTCAACAAACACCGAACTCTTGGGCTTTGGACAAACCAACAATTTTAAGCCCATTATTACTAACTAGGCATAAATGTATTGGACTCACCCATACTCATTGAGCATCAACCACCCACCAACCTTTTATAAGTAGATTGAGTTGTGAAATGGTTTCAAACAAACGATTTGGTTGATGAAGGGACTGTACGGGACATTTCGTCTCTTCCCTCTACGATCTGCTTGAATTTGGCGGATGGAGAGCTTAACCCAGTAGGGGAAGAGAGTTTCAGTATCTATAGCCTGCTGGGGACGGCTTTCAATATGCGTAGTTTGCCTTCTCCTGTGCTGGAAGAGGTGCCAGCCCCGTTGAGAAGTGTTTTTCTGGAAGTTGATATGTCGAGACCAGCAGCAATTTGACTGCTGGAGTTATTGTCTGCCAGATTTGTTGATGGTTGTTGCTCGAATCCACACAAGTCTTCTCCATCATCGTGGGCCACCATTTAAGGTGGAGAAGCTTCGATCAGGAGGTGGTTCTGGTTAGACTATGTGATGGAATTCTACTTGCCTTTTGGTGATGGCCAAGAATACTAAATGAAGCTGAAATGGGTCATCTTCTCTGCCATTTTCGCAGGGAATTCAGACTTGGATGATGGCTCAGGAACCAGCATCAGCTGTCCGAAGACCTATTGTTCCGAATAGCAACCGCAACACGTGTTAGGTTCAGGGATCAAAAGCAAGCTCAAGAGTGAACATAAATAATAGCTAAATGGTTTCCAGTAGAACTGAATTCAGGTTGAAGCTAGCACAACCGAATATCCATGTACAAGTAGAAGTACAAGTAGTCAATTCTGTTCTGAACAAGCGCAAAGAACTCCGTAATGAAGACAGGTGGCCAAACTTATGGACAATATTCTGCATAAAGCCTAAAATTCTGGACAACTACCAGACCAGAAATCAAGATATGCTTCTCTAGAGAGGAAATGTTTGAACGGTACAAACACAGAATTAGAGCAGCAGGCGCTTCCTCGAGCTAAACCTAGAAGGTGGGTTGAGAAGGTCTGGCTAATCCTAGGTCCAGAAAGCAAAGAACTTCAAAACAAGCATATTTTGATCCAAAGAAGAGAATCATTAAGCTGAATTCCGAACCCAAGCTTGAAAGGCGTAACAAAAAATGGAACCCAACAGCTAAAAAACAAGTACCTTGGAGTGGCAGAGGTCGTTGGTTGGCACTTGGAAGGGGCGGATACTTTGGTCGGCGTCAAGAAACACAATATGCAACAAATTTGGCTGGCCCCAAGCCGATCTCGCCTCTCCAAGTGGCAGGCACGGCAGGAGTTCAAAACTTCTAACCTGACCGATGCCGTCTGAGCTGCTGCCGCCGTTTGAACTTGTATCGCTATTCAGCAGCACGTCACCCTCCTATCTTCCAAAAATAAAACAATTTTAATTACTTCTGCCCGCGGAGAGGTAAGGAGAATGATATTACTCTTCTCGAAACTCGTCTCTCTGTAATTTTCAAACCTATGAAAATAGCCAAGAAAAACAGTCAAACATATATGTCGCTGCTGGCGGCGGCGTGACCAGGACCATGGCTAGCCTTTTGGCTGTTTCTTCACAATGCTGGAGGGTCGAGAAGAACAAGGGTCAGACCGTTTCGTCAGCGATAGTTCATTCAAATTTTAACACCTTCTAGATCTTGCTTTAGACTCTTGATTGCCAGGAGTCACTTTCTTTCTTTTGCGCCTTTCAGTTTTACCCTGGGTGCCTGCCAAATCAACTCGAATAAACAAATCTGGGGATCAGTTCCAATAAGCCTAGTCCAACTTTTCTTAATCTGAATTAGACCCATACTTGACAGATGAGCAGATAGCAAGACACAGATGAGCAGATAGCAAGACACAACCCGGATACATCTCGGCCCAGCCCATGCTCACTCATCAACGTTTTTTCCCCTTGTTATTTAGGCAACCAAAAAATATTGGTAACTTAACATTTCTGTTGTTGAATGCTAATGCTACCAATCAATAAACTCTCAAATAGGTAGGTCTTAATGAGGTAAAGAAAAAAGAAAGCTTTGACAAATGAACAACACTTTATTGCAGGAAATCACGATGGTCCAAATGCAACAAACATCCAACAAATCGCACGACTAGGCTACAGTAGGCACGCACGAATGTCCCTTCTCTTCTGCCATCCGTCGGCCAACCAAGTCCACCAGGAAGCTATTTGAATGCACCTAAATGGTTCTATCGGATGCCAAATCGAGCAACCTACGGAAGAACAGATGAGGGTACACCGGAGGCTGCTCTGCCAATGCCTGCCACGCAAATGCATATATGATACAGCACAACGCCGAATGTTAGCAGAGCATCTTGAAGGGTTCTGCAGCTTGCATTTACATAGGAAAAAATAGAGATGTGTAGAAAATTGTCAATTTGGTATGTTCATCATAAACTTACCTGATGAATCAATACAGTGGAAGGAGTCATTCCAGGCACAGTGTTCACCTCTATAACCAACACCTGCAATCAATTCATATCCACCAGTCATTAAAGTTCGCTCCTTTATCATATGTTTTTTTTTTCCACAGTTTAGAAATGGGTACCTCTCCACTGTCAACGTTAAGAAAGGCATCAATTCTGGAAAACCCCTCCAACTCTAGTGTGTTTGCTACCAGCTCAATGCGCTGCTTACATTTCTCCAATGCTTCCTCACTAAAGCAAACAACAGGCAGAGAGACACAAGGGTTTATGAAAAGCTACGCCACAGACAGAGCTCGCACAAGAACTTGACGTTGTTTCAACAACAAACATACCTGACAATCGATGGTGGTGGAGGAGTAAGATTAATGCCGGTTCCACCTACAGAGACAAATCATAATGTTATAAGCTACCTCAAGAGAATGAACACATGGTAAATGATATAAGTCGAGCCTCGTTGATGTTCTCATCAGTAAACTTCTCCGACAAACCAAAACCGTACCCTGAAATTTCTCTTCCAGTGATAAAATATCACCACCTTCCTTGACAGTAATGCTCGGAGAAAGTGACTGCATGCAACCACGTTTCCCCACTACACCAACTGTTATTTCCACCCATCGGCTCTCTCCTTCCCACAATAGCCCGTCTGCGGACTTAGAAGAGACAATGATTTCATCCGTCTCGATAAATGGCTCAAAGATCAACTTCTTTGGAGGAGGATTTGGCATTTCAATCGGTCCGTGTGCCTAAAACGTTCCATATGTAAGCAAAATATTACTTATTAGTGAACAAATGGAAGTAAAATAAGTTGCAGTTGTTCGATATATTACCTTTGAAAAACTGTTGGGTGGAATCCGTGGGAGACATTCTTCCAATGCTGCTACATAAACTGCAAGGTCCTTAGAACAACTGCAGAAGAAAATAAATGAACCGTCATATACTTATTTGAAGCATCGAAAATACAAATAGAAACAATGATAAGTGGTTGAGAAATGCACCGGATTCTTGCCACGCCAGTTGAACATCCATCTCTTGCTGGTTTGACACACAATGTTCCACACTGAAGCTTTGAGGTCAGCTCATTCCAAATCTTCAATGAGGGATTCTTCAGTAATTCTTCTTTTGTTCTCACGTCTTTGTTTATGGTGAGAACTCCAACATCGGAAAGCTGTTAAGTTGTAGAGCATATGAGACTCCAGAATACGCATAGAAGTGTTTTGAAACAACTTACAAAACTTGGTTTGTTACCATACATGACTAACAGCCAAAGATGTAGCCACTTTATCCATACAAATCTTTGATGCCAGTATCCCAGGACCTTAATTCATGTAGCCAAAGGAAATGTCAATGAATTACTTACAATCATAAGAAATGTAATTTGCTGGTCCAGGGTAATAAGGGTATACCTGTATATGGAACTCCTTCTGCTTGCAGCAAGGATTGAAGTGTACCATCTTCACCAATGTCTCCGTGAACTAGGAGTTGTGCATTACAAGCTTCAGGAACATTTTCAAGCAAAAAAAACCCAGTATACATGGCCCAGAAAACACAGACCTGTAAGGAATACCGTTGCTTGCACTTCTTTGGCATGCTTAATCCAATCCTGAAGAGAGAACTTTACAGGTTTTTCATCAGTAATATCAAACCCATTAAACCAGCGGTGCTTCTCAAGTCCTTCCATCAAATCACCCATCACTTGCTTGCGCAACTGAGATGTTAATGAAGCCCTAGATGGGTCAGTTGCTTCAGTGCAAGCATCAAGAACTTCTTCTACAGTGTGTCTCAGGACAAGAGAATAACTGTAGCAAAAAGAGGCGTGTTGTAAGTTCATATGCATAGTACTAGCAACAGCTTTCCAAAACAAGACACCAAGTGCTTTTAAGATCTCTACTCACGGCAATGACCAAACTGTCCGTGATCCAGCATTAGAAGATCGCCCATCTGAGGGTGCAAGCAGGCAAGGAATAACTTCAAGCTGTAGTGGGGAAGAAAATCTCGAAAATGTTAGACATTGGTCAACTAGCACAAAGAGTACCCAATTTATAGCCATAATTTATTGGAACTAACATCATCAAAGCCTTGCAAGTTAAGCCAAACGTTTGTTCCACTTATTACAGACACTTGACGCTCTGATGAATTTCCTCCAAAAATGACAAAAACTTTACGAATGCCTTTGTTTTGGTCCGAGTCTTCAGTGAGCAGTTTGGAATTTGATCTTCTTGGCAAATGACTAGAAATATCGACATATGATTCAAGATTGGGAAACCTTGAGCATGCATGGTGAACGATGCTCCTCAGGATGTTCGAATGAGAGAATCCAACCTTTGAAGCTTGCTGAAATAAGAAGCTTGTCTGCTCCATTCCACTAATCTAAAAATTAAACACAAGTCAATTTGGCGTATCCAGAAGAGCTAATGGCAGTGTCAGTGGAAAAATCTAGGGAAACTACTGACCAGATTAATGTCTGTAAACAGTACTGTTCCCATATCAGACCTTCCAAACTTCCCATCTGCTGTGCCAAAGAACGAGTTTGTGGATGATGGCAGAAACCAACCATCAATTCGAGCAAAATCACGAAGGCCAAGTTGTCTGAAAAGCCAAGATGCTCCCTCACGGATAGTTCTTGTTACCTCAATGGGAAAACGAGGGGGAGTGTGATAAGCTACCTGTGGAAGAAGCAAGAGACTTGAGGGTGAGTGCTCCACAAACAATTGTGTATCAAGAAAAAGCTTCAACATATCGCAGCTTAACCTGTCGAGTTGGAAGGTACTTCCTTCTGTAATTGAAGATTGCATCGTCTTCATTAAAATGAAGCTCCACCTGACGAAAAAAGAGGTTCAGCAGATAGTTCATGATTTAATACCGGTAATATCAGCAGACGAAAGAAGCATTACGTCAGCCCCGTCCAATTATGGTTTGGAAAATTTTGGATGAGACAAACACAAGAATAGTACCTCAGATGGGATTAGAACAACAGGTTGACAATCAGTTCCAGAGCCCACATCAAGGATAATGGCAGTGAATTCACTTCCTCCTTCGAGAAATATTTCTACTATGACTTGCTCGTCAATACCCTTTCAAATGTTCCAACAAGCATGTGACTGTGTTAGATAAGCATCATGTCTCGCTTCTTTCGAAGATGCTTAGCCATTATGGGATAAAGTTCAGGTTACCTCTAATTTTATATCCTTTGCCTTCTTCAATGCATCGGCAACGCCATAAGCAACTGTAACACCAATGCTTGATCCTGCTCTGACTGGCTTCACCTGCAATATGGGAATAGTTTGGGCTTTAGCAACCTGGAAACATGGGTTCCGCTCTGGTTAAGCCAACATGAGTGAAGCCTGTCTTACCACTACTTTCCCTGATTTGGTGTCCAGCTGGTTGCTTCTGAACCATTTAGCTACTTCAGATTCTTTGGGTTCACTTCCCTAATTGCCAATTCATATTCAAGCACCAGTATTAAATCATGATGGAGCAAAGGACACACTGAATTTCAGGAAGTTTAGAGCAATACCTGAACTAAAATGTTTGGTACCGTAACAAACCCTTGTTTTCTGAGTTCCAAGGAGGCTTCATACTGCCAATAATTCAAAGGATAAGTTGTAAGAACATTTGACAAAAGCTTGAAACAAAGAATAATACAACTCGAAAAATTCTTAATAATTTGGCATTGAATATGCAATCTCTGAACTCAACCAGCTTAATAAGTTTCCTATGTAGGCTAACAATTTTGCTTATGCTTCAACAGATACCCATATCCCTCATATCCTCACATCACAATGTATTAGAAGCCTTGAGATTTGAAAGATATTGCAGATTCCCTATACCTTGTCGAATGCACGACGGCACTCACTTGATCCTGTGCCAACAAAAGGAATATTGTATTTCTCCAGCAATTCCTGAGTCATTCAAATAGCAACCCAAATAAAAATTACAGTCTTATAAGCCATAATCTGCTTTGGTGCGATACTGACAAAATGATATCATTATTTGCTAAACCTGTATGCCACCATCTTCGCCAAACTGACCATGAATAACTGGGAATACTATGTCAACAGATGCAGCAAGGTGCTCTGCGAATTCAGACAGAGACGGAAAACGCTGGGCAAGGCTGTAAAAGCAGGATAATTTAAGCAGCTTTAAGTTTCCTGCAGCTATCCAAGAACTGAATGAAAGAAGATATCATGAGCAACAGTAAAGTTCTCACCTTTCAAGCTTAAAGTCGAAATCGGCTGGTGTGTTTGAGTATACCTGGAGAGTAAGGACAAAATTAGATTCAACAGTTGTATTCATCATCATAAGTACAACCTTGCCATCGTGAAAGTGGCAAATTGACTGTCAATCTATAACCGTTGACACGATGCATAGGAATCATATGAATCTAGAAATGTAGCTTCTATAAGAAGAAGAAGAAGAAGAAGAAGAAGAAGAAGAAGAAGAAGAGGAAGAAGAAGAATCAGAAGAAGAAACAAACCTGGGCAGGGGCTATAGCAAACGCATTGAGGTCACAGTCAATGTAGTAGCAATTCACTTGCAGATCATCTCCCTGTCGAACAGATGGTGGGTAAGAAGAACAGTTCATAGTAACATACCAAACTTTCTTTCCCAGCAAGTGATTGACACAAAGTTTCAAACACATGGTGGGCATATTCAAAAAAATTACCTGTATGTGATCAAGAACTGATCTAACAGAGTTGAGAGAAATCCCACGCTCTGCAGATGGACCGCCGCATACCAGTCCAACTCTGAGAACCCTCCCCCCACTCCCTTCCCCCTTTTCTGTCGCGCTATCCACCACTATCTCTGCGGTGGCGCGTGGAACATTGCTCGCGGGGAATCGCGTGTTGCAGTAAGATGTGAAAGAATCAAAGTTGACCTCGCAGTTCAAGTTGAAGAACTTGGAAGAAGGACCACTATAAACTGCTTTCGCAGCAGCAGAAAACGGCCGACTTCCGAGTAAGCCGTCCGGATGGTCGGAGCGAAGTAAGGGGAGCTTGGAGGCAAGAGAAAACGACGCCATGGATAGGAAAAATCAGAGGAGATTTGCCAGAAAGAAGATGATAGGAAGAAGGTTGAAGCTGATGGATTTCTGATATAGAAGAGTTCGGCTGGTGTGAGTGACGATTTAGGAAGGAAGAAAGTGAGCAACGAGTCGAAAATAGTGTGGAAAGGTGACTGAGCATCTTTTGTCTGGTTATCGTTAAGATGTTAACAATCATTTTTTGTTGGCATCGGCCGGCAGAAAAACTACTTGTTTATATCCACCAAAAGGTTGTCGATTTCTTATTGGACGTCTAAGTTGTCCTATTGCACCTAATTACATTATATTCGGTTTTGCACGCTTGGGGTTACTGTGTTTACATTTATTGTGAGTTTCAAGTCATTGTCATTTGGATAAAATAATTGATCAATATGTAGTGGTCATTTATTCTTGAGATTTTGATCAAGATTTTATACTTAGGGGTCCTGCTTCAAGATTTGAAAATGAGGTTTATTCCTATAGAAGTTACATGATATTGCTTGTGATTAAGAAGTCTTGTATTGTGTTTTCATTGTGTGGGTCTGAATGTCCTGGACTTTGAGATTAGTTTGAATACTGAAAATCAGTTTATGGTAATGGTTTGTGGTAATGAAGTATATGGCGTATGTGTAAGATGGAAACTGATTAGGTTGGTTAGATAATCTTGATAGAGAGTTGCTGAAGTCAGCTTAAAGAAAAAAATACATAAAAAGGGTAAAAGATTAAGAAGGAAAAGAACATAATCCACAGCTTTAGCCATGTCTATGGGCATATGAGCTATGGATCCTAAAATAAACACTTTAAAACAGAGGATTGAAAATGAGATGGGTATATGACATAAGTATGAATGGAATGGATGTTTAGAGTAGAAAATAAAGCTCGCCTGGTTTTTATGACGAGTGGTCTGTTGTTGATGGCTTTTAACTTCTCTCTTGCCGTCTGCTTCTGTCAACTTCCTTCTGCGCATGCTTTTTGTACCAGAAGCAAAGAAAGATGAAATCCCTATTTCGTATGTTTTCCCCTATTGCTATCCCCGTCAGTCTCTCTCTGTTGGAAAAAGGAAAGAAAAGAGTCTTGTGTTTCAGTTCTATCTCTCAATCTGTCTGTGTTGTAAGCAAAAACGAAAGAAAAGAGGAAGAAGAAAGTGGCTGGGTTTTCTCGTATTAGAGGATGAAAAGAAGAAGATCAATTCTGTTTTTGCCAGCTTTTTGCTCTGTGAATCAGGAAAGAGGAAGTGGAGAGCGGATAAGATGTGGCTGCCGCCCCTCAAAACAAAGAGCAAGAGCTCTTTTTACAGGGAAAAAAAAAAAAAATTTAGGTCAGCCATGGGCTGGTTCGGGTCGGACCAGTTCGGTTCGACCGGTTTGGTTCTCCGGTTTTGCACGCTCAGAGGTTACTGTGTTTACATTTATGGTGAGTTTCAAGTCATTGTCATTTGGATAAAATAATTGATCAATATGTAGTGGTCGTTTATTCTTGAGATTTTGATCAAGATTTTATACTTAAGAGGTCCTGCTTCAAGATTTGAAAATGAAGTTTTTTCCTATAGCGTGGGATTTAAAAATTTAAGGTTTATTTGGGATTTGGGGCATTGTGGATTTGGAAAAAGCCTTTGTTCACTCATTTTAATCATGGATTTATTCGTGTTTGAGCCTCGTCGCCTCGTCACCGTACCCGCTCCCTTGATGCTAGGTGTCTGCCTACACACACGAAATATAGAGGGGGGCGCCCGGGCCCGTTAACCCTCCGACGGTCAAGTCAGTTCCCTTCTAGAGAGAGAAGTGCGTAGAGAGTGAGTTTAGTGAGAGAGTCCAACCTGTGTAAATGCTACCAACTGCCTCTATTTATACTCACCCAACTCGAGGTTGATCTCCTCCACGTCATCACCACATTTAATGCCTTGTACCTTCATTTTTGTCAGATGCCTCAACCACCTTGTCAGGCTTCTGACGACTGTCAGGCGCCTGCAGGCGAGGGACCACTTGACAGTCTGGACTTCCTTGGCCTTTAGCGTTTTGTCCTTATGCGCCTTTCACCTTGTATGGAATGAGCTTTGTGGGCCCATTCATGGGCTTCTTCTGCTGGGTAATTGTTTGAGCCTATTCTTGACTCAATGGGCCTTTCTTTGGGCCCTCATAGTGGTATCCCCAACAATTTCCCCCCATTTAGGCACTCATGGCCCCTTACTTGAGTGCCTAACTAATCCCCTTGGCCTGGTGCCCCTTGCTCATGTCATGACCTATCGGTGGGCGCCTGGTTATCCCGTCCGTGTCTAGTTTTCTGGCGCCTAAGCTCTTCGTTATCTTCCGCCATTTGTCTCTCGCCCTGGCGTCTACTTACAAGATCAAACCTTCTCAAGTTCGTGCCCCCCTCTCGAGGGCGCCCAACACTTTGACTGATCTGCTCCGCTCACATTAATTTGCAGGCGCCTTTTTGCGTGGTTAAAGATTGGGAGGCGCCCCGACCCCTCGCGCACTATTCTAGCATCTACTTGGGTGAGTGCTCCCCTCGCGCCCCCCTCACGGTCGGGGTTTGAAGTTGGACTTAAAATATTCTTTTAAACTCAATATTGGAATTTTGAAGTTAAAAAAAATGGGGGAAGCTCACAAGCCCGCCCGTGATGCTGACACGTGGCAAGTGGCAAAGGCTCCGATGCGCCCTTCCTCCCTTTAAATACTCTCAACCTCCTTAGCCTTGTCACTTTCCACAATCCTCTCTCTCTCTAACTTCGCTCTGACTTCTCTCTAACTCCCTCCACGCCGCCAACATCTTCACTTCTCTTCGAGCAAGCACATGGTATCTCCCCAAGATAAGGCTTTTGGTGCGGGCGCCTCTGGTGCAGGCGGCGCTCCTAATCGCCCTTCCCAGTCTGGTAAGCGGTTCTCTTGGCTTATTCTTTCTCTCTGGTTTTCCTTTTGTCTTTCAACATTTAGGCATGGGCGTCGCTTACCCCGCGTCCCGGTTGTGCGCCTGGTTCGGTTTTTCCTTTAGAGAGGGCGCCTGCACCTGCATCTGCTGGACTGTCAAGCGCCTCCACTCCGGGCTTCATGCCCGCGGGCGGTTCATATAAAATCACGACATGGGAGAAGACCTTTCCTCCTAAATATGTGCCTGTTGAGACGTCCGCGTTGCCATTTGACGTGGCCGGGCCAGACGACCAATCTACAGTGACTAGGTTGTAAGATATGTAGTATAACCAAACTAATAGTTATACCATTAGCAATAGGTTGAAAGATATGTAATCTAACCAACCTACGAGTTATATGAATTTTAGTAGGCCAATCTAGGAGCTATGTAATGAGTAGCTAATCAAGTTGGTTTGTGATTCATATCATTAAGTTGACTTATGAGCACCCCCTTGATTTCATCACTAGTGCATCATAGTTTGATTATATGTGCGTCGATCACTCGTATTTTCTTGAGTTTGTGCAATTGCATTGGAGACTATATCTGAATATATTTTCTTGTGTTTTTCTTCACTAAATGTCAGACTCCTAAATCATCATATGCAAAAATTGTTATGAGCTATAGTAAGGTTTGCTATAGACAATGTTTTAGTCACTCACTCGCTATGACACAACACCTAACAATGGCCAAGTGTAACCAATGGAAGGGACTGCATTATAGTGGCTCAAGTAATCAATATCGAATCCACGGGTCTCTAGAGTTACTATTACTCAGCTTCAGTTCATTATCTAGCAAACCAGATTAAGATGGAAGAACTAAAACTACTCTAACAAACTACAGTTAAAGTTAATCTAATTACAGGTTGGGAACTCACTTAAGTATGATTCCCCCTAGCCACTAGTCAGATTAATGATTGATGATTTCTAACTTGTTTCACTTTCATTCACAATGCGGAGAATCCTTGACTAGACCTTGAGTCTCGACTAAAGGAACAAGGCCCTCTTGAGTCAATTGCCTAGAGGGACGTATCCTTCTCTAGAACAACCGATCAAGGCGTTCTGAACTAGACTCCTTCTATCGACAGAGGTTCTCAATCGATACAAAGCAGTGAATCAACCCTCGACTAAAGCAATCGATCCACTACTATCAATCTATGGTGCTCTATTGACCTAATCAGGTATTCGCTCTCATAGGATCAAAGCAGAATCAATAATCTCGACTAAAGCAGAATTGAATCATGAAAACGTGCATAGATTGAATATGAACTCAACATTATCAAGTAAGAGTACTCATACAACCATCCAATCAAAAAAACATAGCTAGGGTTCCTCAAAACCTAAGTGAAGGGAAGTTACTCCATAGAGAAGAGAGAGACTGCAGTAAGAATCTTCAGATGATCAGTCTTCAAGTCCGGACTTGTTCCTAGAGCTTTCAAGGCGAAGAAATCCTCCAATTCCACTCTTAGAATGCCCTCAAATCGCCCTCTCCCTCTTTGGCTCGTCCCTTGGGTGTTTGGGATCCAAAAACCCAGCTCCCCCTTGCAAAAACGCACAAAACAGGCTTTTAACAACCTGCGTTCGCGATCCCCGGTCGGGTTTTTTGGGTGGCGACCGGGGATTGCTGAAACGCACCGTCGAAGACAGGGGGTTAATCCCCGGTCAGGGTCAAGAATACCTGACCGGGGATTTATGCTTGATGCCCGGGCCCCCTTCTGCTTCTCAGACGCCCAAAACAAATTTTTCCCGTTCTGCTCCATATAATACCCGGCCGGGTATTTCTGCTCATGGCCGGGTATTTCTGCTCATGGCCGGGTATTTTGCTCCTCCAGCACACTTCAACCCAAACGTGCTCCTTTCGACCCGAAACTCGTTTCTTCGCCTCGATGCCAACCCTAAGCTCTGAAATATGACATAAATGCACAACCTAGCGTGAAATCGGCTTAAAACACGAGAATCAACATCTCAAACGGCTCAAGAATAGGGGTATAAACATGTGTAATTATTGGTCTATCAGTCACTAAATGTTAGACTCTTAAATCATCATGTAACATTGTGATAAGTTTTTCCTCCCTTTTCTCTTAAAAAAATTGAAAACACAACATTTCCCACTTATTTCTTTTTCATAAATAAAAAATACAAAAATCTCTCACCTCTTTCTCTTCCTATAAATAAAAAACACCAAAACTCTCCCTTCTTTCTTTTCCCAAATCATGAAGTACCAAATCACTTCAAATTTTCTTTCTCTTTTTTTTCACAAAAAGTTGAAAACGCCAAAAATTTCCCACTCCTTTCTCTTATTATAACCAAATCAAAAAAAAGTCTCATTCTTTCTTTTCCAAAAATGTAATCACCAAATTTTCCTCTTCTTTTTATTCTAAAAAAGTTGAAACGCACGAAAAATTCCGCTTCTTTCTCTTTTCATAAATCAAAAGCACCAAAACTCTCCCTTTTTCTTTACCCAAAAATTGAAACACCAAATTTCCCTCTTCCATTTCTTCCCAAAAAGTTGAAAACAACAAAATTTCTCACTTATTTTACTGTATATATGTTATACATCGTCTCAATTGTTAATTATACATTATTAATATTGGCATTATGCTGATTTAATATTGGGTTAATACCTTAGTTTGGCCTGAACTATACACATATTTCTACTTTGGCCCGTGGTATTGAAAATTGCTATTTTGGCCTGAACTATGTAACAAACTTCCTCATTTGGCCTGGAGGCGGGTTTGACCGTCAAATTAGACGGTCAAACCTGTTGACCGTTAGTCAATATCCACCTCACCTCCCACGTCAGCTTTGAGGACATAAAAAATAATTTTTTTATTTATGAATTTTGGTTTCTTTCGATTAATAAAAATAATAAATCAAAAAAATTAATTAAAAGAACGAAAAAGGGCCCATTTTTAGCAGGTGAGGTGGGCATTGACTAACGGTCAACAAGTTTGACCGTCTGATTTAACGGTCAAACCCGCCTCCAGGCCAAATAAGGAAGTTTGCTACATAGTTCATGCCAGAATAGCAATTTCCAATAACACGGGCCAAAATAGAAAGTATGTGTATAGTTCGGGCCAAACTAAGGTATTAACCCTTTAATATTTGTTTTTGTAATTTTTTTAAAGAACTTAATGGTCTAGTGAACTTCATTTTTTAATTTTATTAAAAGTACATAATTTCAACTCGATTTCATGTTTTGAACTTTCCTTCACAAAATGAAAAAAATAATTTTACTTACACTTACAACCAAAAAATTTCATTTTGAAAGACTATATAATATATAATATAGTAATTATTCGGGTCAACCGGGCGGGTTACGGGTTAGTCAGGTTCGGGTCAATCGGTCTCGGGTCAATCGAGTTACGGTTTTAATCGGGTTGCGGGTTAATCGAATTCGGGTTAATCGGATAGCGGGCTAATCGGGTTACGGGTTAATCGGGTTACGGGTTAATCGGTTTGCGGGTCATTGACTTTTAGTCAATTCGGATTGCAGTCGTGTTGCGGGTCGGATTAATCGGACGGGTTAGTCGGATCGGGCTATGTTTTGACACCTTTAATA